ACCTGCTTCCCTCTCCCATCCCCAGCTTTGTGTTATAGACATTCTGTCATGGCCACTCTATTTCAATCAAGTATAGCCAAGAAGATAGGGTACCCGCTCCTACCCACCCTCATCAGTCCTCAGTCTAGGGCYATGGTTTCACCCTTGCAAGGGCAGGCTACCATTTTTTTTTCAGTTGTAGATGGACAGAATGCCTTTATTTTATTTGTTTATTTTTATGTGGTGCTGAGGATCAAACCCAGGGCTTCACACATGCTAGGCAAGTGCTCTGCCACTGAGCTACAGCCCCAACCTCAAGCTACCATTGTTTATCATTTCCTCAAGCCCATTTCCCTGTTGCAGTTCTGTTCTACRCAAACATGGCCAAGAAGACTAACTCCATTCCTCTACCCAGCTCCTCATAGGGTAGAAACTCTACCACAAGGGTCTCTAACAAGAACACTGGGACCCTGATTGCCCCATTTCAGTTCCCTTATAGATAATAATCCCATTCTGAGAACTTCAGCCCAAGAAGACCAGGAACCATCACCCTCCCTTTCTAACTCCTGCTAAAGATGTCACTCTGGGAGAAACATCTTGTTATCACTGTATCTAGTTCCCATGAAGATGAAAGGATGTCATGAGGATGAAGAAGTCCATAGTTTTCACTGCAGTTAGTGGCTTCATTTGAAGCAGATCATGGATATTTCCATACTTAAAAGTATTGCTGAAAACAACAGAAAGCTTGGTAGAAAAATTAAGGTGCTGGTATCTTTGTGATGCTGAGAGCAACAAGCAAAATGACAGAGCAAGCAGAACTTCAACTAAAAGAGCAGGGAGAGAAAAAACTGAAAGTACTCTCCTGGRATCCCATTAAGCCCTGGGAGTAGGGACACCTACACACATGACCTAGGATATACCTATTCAGAATCAAATAGAATAAGATCTGGATCAGACTTGTAAACATTTCTTGATCTGAGCACAACAAAGGGCAGAAGCCTTACTCACTTGTGGGGCTAAAGTATAACCTCTCATCAAATATAGACTGAAAAATAAGCCATTCTCACCCCAGGGAAAATATGATTAAGCCAGGATTTAAAATAAAATCACATGATCCTAGTAGTCTGGAGGACAATATGCATGTCCAGTACACTCTCTTAGCAGTGATTAGAAAGGAAACTAAGTCCTGGCTGAAATTGGGGCAAAAACATAAACTCACTCAGTTTTAATAACAGACTCCAAGCCACAAAAACATCCAACATTAAAGAGTAAAAAGAGAACTTAAGCACGATCTTTGACCAATAAATGGCTCATGCAGATCCAAGGTGACAATTAGGGAAACACGATAAAAGAACAAATAAGGAAAAATAAAAGTAATATGAATAGGGATATCAGAAGCTGTACACTTGGAAAAAACAGATTTCAAAGCAAGTCATTAAACAAAAGAAAACCAAACAAAAGAAAACAAAAACAACAACGACAACAACAAAATCAATATCTAGTGACTACAATGGGAGGAAAAAGTATACAAACTTTCTGCAAAATATTATTTAAATAWTATATGTTATTTAAAATGTTAATTTTCAATTAAAATATTATAAATCAGGGGAAAAAAGACAAAGTGTTAACCATGCACTAAACAAAATGTACACAGTAAAAACTGGCTACAAAGGGGCCCCAATAAAGGACATAGCAGACAAAGATTTCAAAACAGCTATTATAAACATACTCAAGATTGTAAAAGCAAGACTAAAAGTAATAAATATTTAAAGAAAAGCATGATAACAATGACTGATCAAATGGATAATATTAAAAAACAAAAATAGGATCTGGGGTTGTGGCTCAGCAGCAGAGCGCTTGSCTCACATGTTCAAGACCCTGGGTTCAATCCTCAGTACCACATAAAAAAATAAACAAGTGAAATAAAGGTGTTGTGACAACTACAACTAAAAAAATATATAAATATTAAAAAATAGTTTTTAAAGAAGATCAAATGGAAACTCTAGAGTTGAAAACTATAATAACTGAAAAGAAAATTACTGTATAGAATTTCAACAGTAGATTTGATCTACTGGAAAAAAGAATCAGTGCACTTCATGATTGATAGAGGTTATGCATACTGAAAAACAGAGAGAGAAAAGAAATGGATAAAAATGGGCAGCACTTTGAAGAAATGTAGGAAATCATTAAATGCACAAACATTCTCATAAATGTAATATCAGAAGAAAAAGAGAAAAAGGAAAGGAAAGAAAAATATTTGTAAAAATAATAGCTAAAAACCTCCCAAATTTGATGAGAAACATTAATATACACACAMRAGAAGACTGAATGTAAWTGTAAGATAAAAACAGAAACCCACATGTAGATACATCAAAGTAAAAATATTAAAAATAAAAAGAGAATATTTTGAAAGCAGTAAGTATGAAATGACTTATCATGTATAACAGAACTTCCAAGATATTAACAGCTAACTTCTTATSAGAAACTGTGGAGTCCAAAAGGCAATGGGATAAAATATTCAAGGTACTGACAGTAAAAAAAAAAAATGATCAACTAAGAATCATAGATCCAGTAAAACTATATTTATGACCTTGGTTTAAGCAATGGTTTTTTTAGACAGGACACAAAAGTTACAGGCTATAAAAGAAAAAAATGTAGTAAATMAAAATTAAGATTTCTGCAGCAAATRTTACCATAAAGATAGAGAAGARACAATCTATAGAATGGAAGAGACATTTGAAAATCTTGTATCTGAAAAGGGTCTTGTATTTGAATACATAAAGAGCTTTTCCAAATCAATGATCAATTTTTGAAAACCAAGTAGTCCAATATAAAGACAGGCAAAGAATTATATCTCCAAAGTAGACATACAAATGGCCAGTAAGAATATGGAAGGATATTCAATGTCATTTGTCATTTGGGGAATGCAAACAAAAACCATAATGAGATAACATTTCATAACCAGTAGGATAGGTATAACCAAAACAGGTGTTGGCAAGGATATGGGAAAAAACACATAATATATTGTTGGTGAGAACATAAAATGGTATTTATCTTTGCCATTATACATTGAATATGTGTAATTTGCTTTTGCTCTTTATAGGGGAAAACATTCATGAGTTTGCCTTGAGTCTTAAATGAGATTCTGGTCTTGGGTTTTTGGGCAATGCTGGAACTGTTTAGACTCTGGGGAGTCTTGAAAATAGATTAAGTATGTTTTGCATTGCATGATGGGAATAAGCTTTTGAGGGCCCAGGGCAGAAAATTATGGTTTAGATATGAAGTCCCCCCCCAAAAGCTTATGTGTGAGACAATGCAAGAAATGTTCAGAGGTAAAATGATCATGTTACAAAAGCCTTAATCTAATCAGTGGATTAATCCAATGATATAGATTAAGGAGGCAGTAATTATAGGCAGGTAAGATGTGGCTGGAAAAAGTCGGCCCCTGGGGGCATGCCTTTGGGGTTTATATTTTGTCATGAGTGAGCAGGGAACTCTCCCTTTCCCCTTTCTCTCTTTCTGCTTCATGGTGGCCATGTCCTGAGCTGCTTTCYTCCACCACTCCCTTCTGCCATTATGTTCTGCCTCATCTTGGGCCTATAGCAATGGAATTAGCCAACCATAGACTGAATCTTGAAACCATGAGCCAAAATAARCTTTTCCTCTTCTAGGTTGTTCTTTTCGGATATTTCAGTCACAGTGAGGAAAAAGCAAACTAAAACAAATGCTATGGCCACTTAAGAAAACAGTTTGGCAGTACTTCAAAAAATTAAGTAYAGCATTACCAAATGACCCAGCAATTCTACTCCTTGGTATATAGCCAAGAGAAATGAAAACATGTCCACACAAAAACCTGTGCATAAACATCTGTAGCAGCATTATTCATAATAATAAAAAACTGTAAACTACCCAAATGTCCATCAACTGATGAAAAGATAAATGTAGTACATCCATAAAATGGATGTCATAACATAGATGAACCCATAAAGAATCCAGTCACAAAAGAACACAGAGCATATTATTCCATTTATATGAAATGTCCAGAATAAGCAAATCCATAAAGATAGAAAGCAGATTAGGGGTTGCCTAGGGCTTAGGACTCAGTAAGATACAGATAAGACGGGTTCCTCGTGGGTAATGGAACTTCTTCTGGGGGTGATGAAAATACAATTAGATTGTGTTCTGCAACCTAAATGTTCTACAATAAGGTTAAATAACTCTGAATAGACTAAAAAAACACTGAATTGTATGTTTTCAACAGATGAATATTATAATGCATGAATTATATCTCAATAAATATTTTTTTAAAAACTGACAATCTACTTCTCTACTTCTCTTAGCATAAGAGAAAGTCAAAAGAATAGAAACTAATTCATCTGCCATGGGAAATTAGTTCATGAATACATTCAAGACTGCTTGACAGCTCAGTACTGACTGGCTGTTTCCTATCCAGGCATTTATTGTGTCTAATAAAACTGAGCCAGGGTTCTGATAAGTTTACACATGACCCTTGGTAATTCCTTGCATTGGAGTCTCAGATTCTGTAAAATAATAATAACAAAACAAAAAACTAAAATGGATTCACTACATAAGCTTTTCTACTTCACTAATTCTAAGAAATTCTGCACATTGAGGCCACTTAGAAGTGATTCTTTTTTGTATTCTATTCACATATATCTTGATTCTCTACAGAGTGATGCTAATTTTATATTAGATCACAATTATTAAGTGATGGGGCTTATAAGCATCAGGGGCCAAAAGCTATAGAGCATTCATTTTAAAAGTAACCCTACACAATCAGTTTTGTTTTGTTTTCAAAAKGCAATGGAAGTAAGGAAGGGGAGAAAGGAAGAAGAGGAGTGTTAAAGTAGAGAACTCAGTAAGTCAACAGACTGGGAAATGATTATATTTTCCTTTTCTTTCTATTGTCCAAATTACAATACAAATTATGCATATTTGTAATCAATTATGCCAAGTGAATAAAGGACACAGCAAATTGAAAAGAAAAAGAAAAACAATACCTTCTGGGGGAGTCCCAATGCTGCTGCCAAGACCCAAGATAGCCATCTTGTGAATTCTTGGGGCCAGCATCACAGCAGATTCTTCTCCTCTTTCCCAATGGGGGATTTTGACTGGTTCTAAGTGGACGTTCTCCAGTCCATTTTGCTTCAGATTTTGGTACATGATTTGGATGGCTTTTTCTAGGTTCTCRGAGCCACTCAGTCTGGGCCCAACAGTATCAACCAGAAGTGCCAATCGCTCATAAGACCGGTTCTGGGCTTTACCGTAAACAGCAAGGTTGATAATTGCTTTAGCAACATCTTCATAGCTGGCTATTTCTTCTTTTATTTCTTGAAGAGTTCTCTGAGTGATGCCGTGTTTGTATACAGCTTTCCCAGAGCTCAAGGATAAAAGGTGAACAACACCAACAAATGTGAAAATAAGGAACTTCATTTTTTTTTCAGGTTGGTTTTCTTCCCAAAATAACCTATGTAAGTAAAAAAAATATGATGTGTTAGGGGGCAAGACTCTCATGGCCATCTACCCATAACCCAGGGACTGCTGTTCAGGCAGCACCCCTGTCCCTTTCCTTCCCAGCTAGTATCCAGCCTCCTCCATCATATTCAGGCAATGGGGCAGTGACTGGCCTTATCAAAAATAGGGCAGTGTTTATTAAAACATTGAAACTCTTGTTACCTAGTGATCCTGCATTCTAAAAGATTAAAACCAAAGAGAACTAAGAATGGGAGAAAGAAGCAGTGGCAACAATGATATGGCGAACAGTGTTACATGCTGCATCTCCCTCTAAATAGAGTATGACCCAGTGAGTGTCACTGCTCCCATATCTGATGTGCTCTTTCCTTTTTGCTTGTCGAGCATGTCCTTTGAGGCACTTTCAGATGTCATCTTTTCTCAATGCTTTTCCTAATTCCCTTTCCACTAAAAAATAATTCCTTTTTCATCTGCACTCCAAAAGTATTTTATGTGTTCAAAACTTTATTTTTATTGAATGCCAACTATGTACCWTGGACTGCAGCAGGCCTTTAGAAGAAAGAAGTCTAAATGGCTACAAAAAGCAAAGAATTAATAAAGAGACTGGGCTTTGTTTCCATTAGCTTATGATATCCATCACCTACACAATACTAATGAAAACAATAATGATAATAACAAGATACATTTATTGCCATGCATCTAACAGTGTTCTAAGTACATTGCATTCATTAGCACATTTAATCCTCATAACGACCCAACCATATAAAGTAGTTTCTTATTATTACCTTTATTTCACAAACGAGGAACTAGGGCATTGAGAGATTAAGTGACTGGCTGACACACAAAGCCATCCCAGCTATGGGAATCCATGTTCTAAATGGTGCTACTCAAAGTATGGGTTTGGGACTGAAGCCAATCCACAGACTGGTTTTACTAGTCCATATTGGGTAAATACAAAGATTACGAGTAAATCTATTTATTGCTACCAGATACAGTCGCCAATATTCTCATGCAGCTATTTCAATCTAAGTCGATTAAAATTAAAAAGTTAAATCCTCAGTCACACTAGCCACATTTCAAGCACTCAGTATGCACACTATGGCTACCATACTGTCCAGGACAGACAGAACATTTGTATCATCACAGAGTGYTGCATAAATCTGGTTTTGGCACTTTTGTAAACTGGATATCTGCTATGGTTTGAATGCTTGTCCCTTCCCAAATACATGTTGAATTTTTAGCACCATTTTGACAATATTGGGAGATAAGGCCTTCAAAGGTGTTTAGGGCCCTTGGGCCCCACCCTCATGACTGAACTAATGCTGTTATCACGGGAATGGACTCACTGTGTTACAAGTGGGTTCACTCTCTCTTGCTCTTTTTTGTCCTGTCTTTCCTCTGACACATGATATTTTCCAACCCATTACGGCAAAATAAGAAGGACCCCGTCAGATGTCAACCCCCAACCTTAGACTTCCCAAGCTCCAAAACAGTGAGCCAATACATTTCTGTTTTTTATTAATTATCCTGTCTGTGTTATTGTTAGAGCAGCACAAAATGGACCCAGACTACATCTGTCAAATCTAATACTAACAAAAAGAATGCTTCACTTTATTTGTCTAATTCACTGTCATTATATTTTACAGAAGTTTTATTCTGCAATAGATTTTTTAAAAATTTTTTTAAATAGTCCTGTACCACAGATAATTTCAGAAACATAGTCACTAGCAACTATATTATGAGGATAAATTTTAAATTCAGCTGGCACCTAAGCAAGGCCTTTCAAAAAATGAGGCCAACAGCTACGTCAACGTCATCTCTCCTCCCTTCTGGAGTGTACTTGTGGTTTCTCATTCTTTTCGCCACCACCCCGCAGCCTCCACACATAATTTCTAAGCTTCCAGATACTGAGCACTTGAAATGTGGCTACCCAGAATTGAGATATTTTGATTCTATAAGTGTAAAATATGCACTTAATTTGATTTAAATACTTAAATATGAAAATATTTCAGGTATATTGGGTTAGATAAGATATATTATTATTAATTTTACCTATTTTGTTTGTTTTAATATGGCTATTKAGAATTGTTAGGTCATACATTTATATGTACATTGCACAATATTGATGTAGCTACACTGAACCTCATACTGCTCTTCAAATTCCCAGGCCTATTCATCACTCATGGTCCTCACCCATGTTCATTCATTCTCTTTATTGCAAGGACCTTCTTGCCCTGCTCCTATTCTCCTAGTGAATGCTTCCATTCATTCTTTAATGAGCATGCTTTAAAAAATCACCTCCTCTGTGGAGCCTTACCAAACAACACCTGAGTTATTTGCTCCATCTTCTGTGCTTCCACCGTGACTAATATGTTATCAGCCACATATTGGTTTATAAATGTCTCTCCTCTACCATCATAGTCAAGTAGGATAAATTATTCACCACTGCATCTTCAATTGCTAGGCACTCGATACATGTGTTTTTTAAAATTTAAGGAATAAATAAGCATTTAATCTAAGTCTTAGTGGTATTAGAGTACTGTTCTTGCCTCCCTCACAAAGAAGCTACAGGAATAAATACTTGCTATCAGACTTAAAATATTTTGAAAATTCATGCTGCTAGTTTCTGGATTATAATCACTATTGACAAGTATCGGTTCTTGGTTTCTGTGATCACCATACTGATGCTTATTTTTAAAAGTTAAATTTAGTGAAGCAATCAAAATATTCCACAAGACTACAATTTATTCTTAAAAGAACATTTTTTTCCAATGTGGTGTTAGTACAAAGAAAAAAAAAGAAGAAAATAAGAAAGATCTATAAACCATCTTATGAACCACTAACACTAACCACAAGTAGCTACTTCTAAATAAAAATTCTCAGAGCATTCTGCAACATTAATTAACAATTTCACAATACATGATTCTGATGATGAATTAGAATCACATAATGACAACACTGTAGAGTTAAAGAAGAGTGTAGAGATCCCTAGTACACACCCTTGTTTTGTAGAAAGTCAACCAAAGACTTTATTGAGATTCCCAGGCAGCAAAAAAACAGCAACTATAATCAACCAGGTATCTGGACTGACTGACACAGACTTCCTGGAGGATTATAAATTGTTTTTATAGGAAATGGTATACATTTACATATAATAGAAACTCAATGAGGGATGCCCAAATGCAGTCTAAGCAGAAAGTAACTATAATGAAATGCATGTGCTCAAACAGACTCATGCATAAAGCACCATGGGAACACAAAGAACAAAGATTTATATGAAAAACTTTAAAGAAAACAAGACATCCTCACATGGCTCAACAGGCAGAGTACAGGGAAGTGAACACCTTCCCAAGGGACCGCCAGTCAGTTGAAAGGTCCACTCTTAGATGATTACAAATAGCAGCAGCAACAGTAGTAATAGTAGTAGTAGTAGTAGTAGTAGTAATAGTAGTAGTAGTATCAATAATAATAAKAAGAAGAAGAAGAATAAATGGAAGCTAGGTCAAGAATATAGCAATGCCTAAGTCTCATCTTTACAACCTTTTGTATGTATGTCATTGTGCTAATAAATATCATGCCATTTTGATAATAATACTTAGCAATCAGTTAAACTAATTCTGACACTTTAAAAAAACAAGACTTTAAAAGAGAAACTGATGCATGTGAGTGTTGTTTTGAATACCTTAACTAATCCGAATCTTCAAATCCCACAAATGCAAAAATACTCATTTTTTTAAGTAGGTTAATTTAAAAGATGAAGATTTGTTATGTTTCAAAGGATCAATTTTTTTCTGAGTATAATATCGATACTTAAAATATCTACTAAGATTGAAGGTGCAAAACAATGAACTATATGAGGAATCCCTAGTACAGTTGATGTAGGTAAACAGTAAGTACATGTTCATTGATTCCATGCCTGACTTTCCCTGTAATGTAATTTGAACTGAATACTAGAGAATCTTTTATTATTGTTGTTTTTAGAAAGTTATAGTAGCTCAACTAAGATATTTTTATTGATAAATTATAGAAAATAATTATTATTAATAATCTATAGTTGGAGAGGTAACAAAATTGGAAGAAGATATTGAAATATCATATCCCACTTAAGAAAAATGACAAAATATAATATGTGATTTTAAAACACTTGACCTATAATCTAATTGACTTGTACATTCTAAGTAATAAATGGAATATTTATCATGAAAATTAAAATAATGAAATATAAGGACAGAATAAAGTTGGATAAAGAGGAATTTATCAAGGATAATTTGAAGAAAGTCTCTCCTAAGACAGATTTAGGGTCACTGTACATTAGAAAAACCCATTCTAAACCTGGAATCAGAGCAAAGAAGAAGGATGATTGAGGACATAATGACTAAAAACACTAGCCTTTCTGTGTGTGAAAGGACTGGGCCAGGAGTACAGATATTCTAATAAATTAAATGAAGAAAGGGTAGGATAAAATGAATGTAAACTCACTCAGCAAATCTAATATTAGTACTGTACCAGGGGACAGCCCTAGGAACTCAGGGCTAATTTTTAAAAAATCAAAATGCACAACTTTACACAGTAAACATTAAACGTGTATTTTTTTTTTTTTACCAAAGGAGTAAAAAAGCATTAGATAAAATCAGGAATAACACAGTAATTAGAAACCAAACCATTATAAATGTACTACAAAGTGCTGGCACCACACTGAACAACCTGAAGTTCCCTGTGCTGATCTGAAAGACTTGAAGTCTGCCCTACGTCTGCCCTATCTCAGAAATGCAGTGTCTCCCACAATAAAAATTAAAAAGTTAAAAGATTTCACAACTAGAAAGACTACACTATAAAACATACTCAATAAAATATTTCATAAAGAAATGAAAGATAAAATTGAAAACCAGCAGAGGAAGAAACTAAACTAGAAGAATAATCAAAGGAGAAACTAATTCAAGTTAAAAACTAGAAGTAAATCAAAATGATATGAAATAAAAATCATCTCTCAATAAT